ATAAAATCTATATTCGAATTTGCTTTATGTTAGCCACAAAGTAAACCACAACAATTAAATGAGCAAGGCCAAATTCTTGAAATAGCTATTGAAGCTGCTGCAAATGCAATTATAAATCTGAAAGACAATCTAAACGAATGGGATGGTAAAGTTGGTGATGGTGACTGTGGATCCACTGTGAGTCTTATTCATAAATCTTTTACTTATTTATTTTTCATTTTTGATGTATTATGTGCTTACTTGGTGTATGGTTTTTCTTCTGCAGATGTCTAGAGGTGCAAAAGCAATTCTTGAGGACATCAAAAAGTAAGTTTATGATCTGCATTGCCTATTTTTTTTGTTTTTCTTGTTTAGTTTCTTTTAACCCTCCCATTTGATTAATGCGCTATTTGTAATGTTATTCTTAATTGGATTTTAAGTATTTATGTTCTTGAGGAACTGCAAACGTGGCTGCTTAAAAAACGTCTATTTGGTTTTTAGCAGTCTGACCTAAACTGCTATTCTATGTTCAGTTACCCTCTAAATGATGCTGCTGACACTCTCGGTGAAATTGGTTCATCAATTGGAAGATCCATGGGAGGAACAAGTGGGATCATGTAATATGCCATTCCTATGCCTCTTCAGTTAAATCATTTATGCTATCTGACTATTGTCACTCACTATTTTATTTTTTCAGTTATACAATATTTTTTAAGGCAGCACATTCACATTTGAAGGCAAGTTCCCATTCTGGTGTCACATCAAAACAATGTGAGAACATTCTCCAAGTCAAGCTACTTTCAGCTAGAACATTACAATAATCCCCTTTTAAACCTTTTTAATTGGAGTTTCCATTCCTCATGAGTATTTTGTTGATTCAGGGGCTGAAGCACTTAAAGCTTCCATTGCTGCTGTAAGTAAATATGGGGGTGCTAGTGCTGGTTATAGAACATTGTTAGATGCCCTTATTCCAGCATCGTTGGTTCTTGAAGAGGTAATATCTATTCATTTCCCTTTTTTCATGATCTTGTTTACTGTTACTTACAAGGATTTGGCATTACAGAAATTAAATTCTGGTGATGATCCATGCACCGCTTTTATTCTCTCCTCTGAAGCTGCATTAGCTGGGGCTCAGTCAACTGTAGACATGCAAGCACAGGTGACTGCCTATTAATGGTTTAAGAGAGAGAACTTTTGTGGTGTAGCTTCTTCGTTATAATTAAGAGTTATATTTAATCTATTTATATTTTATGCTATTAGGGAGAGTGCAGAGAGTTCCACCTTTTGTAGTGTAGTAACTGAAGCTTTTATACGGAGTTAAATATTTTTGACTATAAACAACTAAAGTGTCATGTTATAAGTCAGCCCTTAAGGAACGAAGATCCCTCCATGGTTGTAAATTTACATCACTGTAATATTAAATCAAGTACAATATGACATAGCTGTAGAGTAGACACATTTTTCCCAGAGTATGAATCCAAATGGTATGAAAATGATTGTGGATGTTTTAATGTGTTGGTGGTGTTGTGATTATTAGTGGATCTGATGGGTAGCAATGCATATGCAGGCCGGTCGTTCAACGTACATTTCTGGAGAGATTCTTTCAACAGTTCCTGATCCTGGTGCTATGGCTGCAGCGACTTGGTTCAGAGCTGCGGCCTTAGCTGTGGAGGCAAAACATGAGAGCTAAGCCTAGACATACATAACTCTTCTTACAATCTCCTTCTGTTTGTGCGGATATAGCCAAGTTTTGTTACGAATTTTGTACTCGTGTAACCAACCATTTAGGCTCTCCGCTTATGTCTATGCCTTTTTTGCATAAAGCTGAGAGAGCCATTGTCAGTCAGTCACTCACCTTTATACACGCCAAATTTTAAAGTGGATGTAAATTTTATACTTTCTCATTTATACAATCGACAATAATATCTATCTCATTTTCAGCTCATAATTGTAAATTTACCGCTTGCTTGGTTGCTTCCTATCTTCATTTTTATGAATACTCACTCGTCAAAAGCTTTCCACTGAATCATGTCCTATACAGGAATTTGACGATGAAAGAGTTGGCGACGTGCTTTTTTTACCCCCTCACCATGTTTTTAAGTGGACTGATGTATTTAAAGTGATTGATGAAAGCATAATAAATTCCGAGTGTTCACAACTATTGTAAACTAAGTTGGCATCTGAACTATGCTAAAGTGAGCTGTTTTTTTTCTTTTCAAGTTGTACTCAACATAGTTTAGCTAATATACTGTTTTCAAGCTATTCTAATAGTCAGAGAGATTAGTGCCGCATTTGAACTGTTTTACAATTTGAATTGGAAGTGCAGCACAATGGTTGTGGGTTTCCACATGCTCCTACATATATTATAATATTTAACGTTTAAATAATTTTTTATTAGCTTTATTTATATTGGAGTTTAATTTCTTTCGAACATTGTGATTATATATTTACAGTGTTGATTCTCAACTGAGTTATTTAATCTTCATAAAAAAACTTGAAGTTATAATCAAATTAATTGATAACTACTTTTACTAGTTTATCATAAGTCATAAATATATTAAATTTAGTTTAATTATTTAATATAGAAATAGTCAATTAAACTTATCAAATTCAACTCAATTAAATTTCACGATCAAATAGTGTAGTTCTTTAGGATTATTATTTTGATTGTATTAGTTCAGCATAGTTTCTTTTCCTGAATTTAAAACCATAAACAGTTCAATTTAGTATATTTTGGCGCACTCTTAATATATTTTATTAGAATGTATTAAAAGATTATTAATTAAGTCACTTATTTAATTTTAATATTTTGATTAATTAAAGGATGTTTAAAAGTTTGAGAACGTGAATCGATCAAGAAATAGATAATTAAATTGGTTTAACTTTAAAATAAAGAATGAGTTGTTAAAGCGATAGTTGAGGTTAAGAAAATGGCAGTAATATGTTGTAGGTGAAACAAGTTTGAGTGAGAATTGAGGTGTAAGTTGAGTCATCCTATGATGATGATATCTTGGGATACTAGTTTATCGAGGGAAAAATAGTTTTAGATAAAAAGATGATAAGTGATGTATTTCAAAATTAAAGTTTGGCTTCTTCATGTCACTACACCATAAAGAGTTTCTTTTGTTTACTCAATATGCGGCAGTAATGGAAGTTGGGTTATATGCAGTGAGAATTAAGGTCTGAAGATGTTGTGGTTAGGTTGCAATTTGGAAGTGCATGTGCTGTCTAATTACAACACCACAACCTCACTACTCCCAACATGCCAGCTCCTTTCACCTAAACTCTCCTCTTCTCTATATGCCCTTCTTCTATTTCATTTTCATTCATACCTTTTGCCTTTTACAATCTCATCATCAACTCCAAAATAACCTCAATCTCAATTTTTTTAAGGGTATTTGAATTATTTTACCAGTTAAATATATTTTTAATCTCTTTAACTTTCAATACAAAAATAAGTAATAATTTTTCATTCAAAATTTTAGATCAATTCATTCTTCATTTTTTAAACTATTTGAATTTAATTCTTTTAATATAATTTTATTAAATTTATTTGATGTTTTAAATGTATTTATCAATTAACATTGAAGTAAAAATATGTTAAACTGGATAAATAATTTAAATGTTATTATAAAGTACGTTTAAAAAGGGACATGAACATCCCTTTGAATTTGATTTTGGAAATATTTGCGTAGAAACGAAGGTAAAAATTGAATCCAAGAGGGTGAGAATGTGGTCCATGAAAGTTGTGTAGAAGATTCTTTACCACCACCTATTCTTCTGACATTTTAAGCCCTACACCCTTCATTCTAATAATGCCATCAACACACAATGCAACAGTTAACATCTTCAATCATTCCTCTTCAATTTCTTCCTTCAATCTCCAAAACTTCAATCTCTTTTTTTCTTTCTTTCTTTCTCTCTTTCTCTTCAATTTTTTTCACATATATGTATGAAGAATCAAAATGAGTAAGTACAGAGTACTCATTGCAATGTGCAAAAAGTATTTATCTTAGCATCAATTCATACATTTTTCATTCACAGAAATATATAAGAGTATTTGTTTCATAATTACTTTACAAATAATATTATATCTAGACGATTTTGATTAGTTAGTTGTTTAAAAACTTTTATTTATGTTCTAAAATTATTTTTTTAATGTGAATATGTTAAAAATTAAAATGTCAATTTCAATTTTATATTGAGTAGAGATGATGAAAAAACTAAATATTTTATATATTAACATTTTATACACATTAAAATCGTTTTTTAATAATGTATCTTAAGTGAAAATATTGATGAAGATCTTCTTAGTTATTTGGATATTTATATAACATCATGTGTTTAAATATATTTTTATCTTTCAGTTTTTTAATACATCTTTTCACGATAAAATAAATAGGACTTCAAGTAGACAATTTCCTAAATTTAGAATTAAAAGAAATCTTAAATTTAATTCTTCTTGCCAACTATGTAAAGAATTAAAAAAAAAAATCATTATTTACTATGCAGGGTTGAATTTAGTTGCAAAATATGAGAAAAAGAAAAGTAAGTAAATAGTTAAAACCAAGTAAATTTAATTTACTGCTGGAAGGGTTAAGTAATTTGTATAGAATTCTGTGTTTAAATATTAATAAACAGTGTTTATTACATTTTTTTTTTCAAATTTCTTATATATAAATCAATTTTTTGAGAAACAAAATTTGTATTATTAAAGAGAAGACACACATAAAAATCAATTTCAGAATATTTCTCTTTTTGGTAAAATTCAATTTACATACTTATATATAAATCAAACATAAAAATCTGAAAAACAAATCTAACTCAAATAATATACATCCAATATTTTATTACCTATCTGACACAGTCAATTAACAGAATAAAGTGATAAATGTTCACGTAATCAAAAGTCTTATTTATTTTATACCTGCTATTTCATTCTATTTTTCTCTATATTACTTCCCATACATGAATCTTCTCCTTCTTCAACTAAAAAAACTCCCAAAAAAAAACAAACAAATTTATACTAACACATGCAACAACATATATAAATTACAAAATTATTACATCCAAACCTTAAACAAAATAAATAAATAAAACAACAGTCCTCTCTCATCTCTCAGCTACCTCATTATCTTCTTCCTTCTACCACTCATCAATTTCTGAAAATAACATTGAAAAACAACCCTTCAAAGGATCCAAACTTGTGAAGATTCTGAGTTCATAATAATGCAGAGTCAAAAGCCCTAGCTATGGTGTCAACTACAGAAAGAAGTTTCACTGAGTGAGGGAAGAAAGATTAGCAGAAGAATTAGATGAGTTAGAGTTGTTCTTATGGTTATGCATCCACACCTTGAAAACCTGTCTTGTAACTCCAACACTTTTACAAAACCTCTCTATCTCATCATCCACCTCTCTCCTCTGCAGCTTCCACCCCAGCTTCTCTGCAAACGCCAACATCTTCTCCTTCTGCTCAGCACTGAACTTAGTCCTGAACCTCTTCCTGCTGCTCCTCTCTCCCATCTCCATTCTTCCGACGTCTCCTCCAGAATATTCCATTATATCCCCGCTCCCTCCAACCTGCAGACCTTCCATCGCACCGGGACACGTCACTTTGCGATGGAAGTTGCGGTGACAACCGCATGCTGCACACTGGAGGGAGGAAGAGGAGACGTCGATATCGAGAGTGAATTCTCCGCAACCATCGGTAGCGTAGCTACCGAGACTCGCTGCATGGTTGCGGAGACACTCTCGATATATAGAGTTTGAAGATGAAGATGATGAAGAGTTTTCCATGTTGTTGGTGTGTGTGAAAGGATGGAAGGTTGAGTATTTATTTGCAGACGAAGAGAAGGTGGTGGGAGAATGACATGAATGGACATGGTTGGAGAGAATATTTACAGTGTTCCCCGTTGTGTGGACATGCTAGCGTCCTATACAACTAGGCAACATCTCCATAATGTGTCCAACATCTACATAAAGCTTTCCATAGGACAATATGTACTCAAAGATAACATTACATCTAGTTAAAGTAAAAAAACAACAAAGGAAAATGTTCAAAAACTTCCCTTCAAAATTAGGGTACATTGGTGTAGGGAACATAAGGATACAAATAAAAAAAAAAAAGAAAAATTCAAGTTCATCTATGTAGGTAATTCAATTTCTAATCTGTAAATAATACTTTTAGTGTAATTAGGAAGTATTTGTAAGTTTGGGCTATTTATATTAAGAATTTTTAGTGTTGAAGAACAACAAAGGCAATTGTAGAAATACATCTAAGTTTTGTCTACAAATAAATGTATTTTTTTTTTAATTAGAAGAGACAGTTTTTTTTGGATATAGTAATGTTAATTTTCTTTTATGAAATTTATTGCAATATTTTGTAGATACAAGAGTATGAAAAAAAAATTAAATTGTAAATACCTTAAATATAATCACTAAAAAGATCCCCTAAAATGCTATAAGTATTTTAATAATAGAAGTTTTATGACATTACTAATTAATTAAATATTTTTTTGTTAATTTTAATGAATTAAATTTGCATGTGTTTGTATAATAGAATGAGAGTTTGAAAGATGTTTGAGACACATGCATGCATCTACTAAGGAATCAAATGGTCATTCAAATTACCAAAATCACAAACATATATATTTGGTTTTGTAAGAGAAAGCAGTGTTTGTGTGAATGCTTGTTCACTTATTGTAACCCCTAAGTGAGTCCCCTAATCGTCATTTTCAATCACTGACAGGGGCCTTTTTGTCCAACAAAATAAGAAGAAAACCCAGTGGCCCCGTTAACGGTGTGGGCCAAATAATTCACTTTTGAAACCAGAAAATTCATTATGTGAATGAATTCTGGTAGAGAAATTTAATAAAATTGTTACGGTAAATATGTTCCTCAAAAAATACATTTGTTGCTTGCAAAATATGTGGAAATTACGTGTATTTTATATCAGAAGCAATCATATTTAAATTCCAGAAAATAAGTCTGCTAGAATTATTATCAAAGTTGCACTTTTTTTTTCCTAACCTAAGTTCCTATTGTGAGAATTGAAAATTATACAATGAAAATAATTAATGGACAATATATTGATATTTGATTTTTTTCTAACGAGATGAAGAGAAAGAAAAATAAATAAACGTACAGAATTATGACTTTTTATAGATTAAGTTTTAATATTTTAATTTGATTCATTCAACAAAATAAAATATTATTTATAATCTCTATACAATCAATTTTTTATAACATATATGTCTTCCGCTACAAATAAATCATTTTATAAAAATTGGTTAATAAAATATAGTGATCAACCACATTTAATATATATATATATATATATATATAT